AGCACTGTTGCACCTCAGTTTCCTCATCTGTGAAATGGGCTGCTGAGCTACACTTCTCATGGGACAGCTGAAAGCCATGGACTCAGTGGAGCCCCCACAAGGGCATCTGGTCCACAGAGAGGCCTCCATCAGGACTCAGCCTGGTTATTTGTTATTTGTATCTCGGATCTGCATGGTGTTGACTCACATTTTCCACAGCAGGGAGGCAGAGAGGGACACACGCAGCGCAGTGGTTTCTGCTGCCTGCCATCCAGGGCCCTGGGCTGGAGGTTTAGCCATGCAGGATTCCGATGCTGCGATAAGGCTGGACAGCGACGGGACGTGGATCAGCAGGCTTGAAGAGCACAGCCTGGGCCTTGTGTAGTCCTGGAGCGAGGCCACACTGCAGAGGCCCCAGGTGCCCGGGCCACTCTGCTTCCCCAGCGCGTGCCCCCCCCTCGCCCCCAGCCACCCTGCGTGCCTGGCGTCTGGCCCCAGGCCCATCCTGCTTCACCCTTCTTTCATCGTAAGCCCATGCTTGAGGAGGCTGCAGAACAGAACCCAGAATCTTGGAACCTTGGGGTTGCAGAGCAGTGCCAGCCGTTGTCTCACAGCCTTGGGCTCCCTGCGGAAGGATCTCTGCCGCATTCCTGACATAGAGCAGCTGCGCCAGCTTGGATCGCCCCATGATGGGGTGCTCACCACCTCAGAGGGCCGATGACCTCAGACTCCCACATAGTTTCACTCCTGGAGGTCACAGGTGACCGCTGAGGTCAGAGGGGCTCCCAGCCCACCAAAGAGCAGTGAGGCCAGCACACCCCGGGCACTTCCTTGATGGGTCTCCGCCCCAGGGCTGGATTCTCCCATCCTTCGGTCTCTGGGTGGTAGCCAGCCCCACCCTGCCAAGCACAGGTGTTGGCCAGGAAGGAAGGAGGAGGACACTCCAGGGGGGACAGGAGATGGACCCCTGGGAGGGGTGCAGCCGACAACCCAGGAGGTCCCCAAGACTCTTTCAAGAGAGGCCAATGGGCTGCTGCTGGGTGGGCTGTGCAGAGTGACAGCTGTCAGCACCTAGGGCGCGGGACGTGAGTCCAGCACAGGTTAAAAGGAAGCTGCTGCCAAGGTGGTCCTGAGAAAGGGGCTCAGTGCCATGTCATCCTGACAGCCGGGAGAGTGATCTCTGCATGCAGGACCCCCGCCTCGAGCTAGGACCCCAGGTGGGGCAGCTGCCAGCAGCCAGCCCAGCTCCAGCCCTCCAGATGTGTGGCCAGCATCCTGCCGCAGCAGCATGGAGAAGGCCCAGATGGGCTGCGCTAACCCAGCCGCGGCTCTTCGGGATCCAGATGCTCTGCTTCGCCGACAAGCAGGCTTTGGTCTCCAGATGTGGACCTAGGCTGAAGGAGGAACACTCTCCAGATGTGTGCGATGTAGCAGGATGGCTGCAGGGCCAGGGCCCAGAGGCTCCTCACTCTACTCAGACCCAGCACCCCCACTCACACAGCTCACCAGCCCCTGGGCCAAAAGGGGTTCGAAGTTCAAGGAAACTCAGGCTCAAGCCAGGCATGGTGGTGCACACCTGTCATCCCAGTGCTCTGGGAGGCTGAGGCAGGAGGATTACAAATTCAAGGCCCTGCCTTCCAGCAATTCAGTGACTTAACAAGACAAAATCAAAAAAAGGCGAGGGGGGGGACAGAGGATATAGCTCAGTGATAAGGCCTTGGGCGTGATGACACACACCTGTGATCCCAGTACTTAAGGCAGAGGCAGGAAGACCTCAGCAAGCTTGAGGCCAGCCTGAACTCCATAGAGAGACTCTTAGTGAAGAGGGTGCATGGCCCTGGGGTCAGTCCCTGGTTATGCAAAAGAAAAATAAAACAAATATGACCCAAAAACTCAGACTAAGGAGCCAGCAGAGCCAGGAAGAACTCTCGCTGTAGAGCGAGGGCCACACAGCCAAACACAGGCAAGAACTCTGAGAGGAGCAGAGGGTTGGGGCACAGAATCTCACTCTCAGACACTCAGGATGGAGGACCTGGACACCCTAGGCCTGGCAGTAAGCACTGGCTCTGCTTTGACTTTGCAGGTGGTGGGAACAGGGGACAGGAAGAGGCAGGGCCTTGCCCCAGGGGTCTTGAGGGACACACCTTTGCCCTAACCCACACAGCCATGTGAGGTTCCCTGGAAGATGCCCAGGAGCCCAGGCCTGGATCAGCCTTGGGTTGGTCCCAGGAGCTTGTCCAGGCCAGCTGCTCCCGGATCCCTCAGCAGATCCCACTTCTCTGTGGGCTCCAAGCCTGGTGGCTACAGTGGTGGCAGAGGTCACAAGTCAGAGGTCAAGCCCGCTAGACCACAGGAGCCCCAGACCCACAGAGGGCCTCTGGGAACAGCAGCCACTGGCCCCTGCTGAGAGGATGGGTGACTCGAGGGGCCATCGGGTGTCCTGTGCACCTTCTAACCCCATCCTGGCCTTGTGGCCTGGGCTGGGTGGGGTGGCTGAGGCTATCTCAGGCAAGCGCCCTGGGAAGGGGGCCGCGCCTCTCTGCTCTGGCAGCCCCACCTGGGGCCAGGCCCAAGAGCTGGGCCTGGGGAGAGAGAGGGAGAGGAAGAAAGAGGGAAGGAGGGAGAGAAGCGGGGGCCCCTTGTCCCCAGACTCCCTCCTCTGGAAGGAGGCTCCTCTCTCCCAGGGTGCCAGGGTCTCAGCCCCAAATCCAGGGACCCTTGTGCCTTGTGCAACAATTCCCATGGTTCTGCCAGCGGCTCCCCCACTCCAATCTGCCCCATGTTGCTCCAACACGCTGCTTTCCTTGGGGTCAGATGGGGTCGGGAGCCGGGGATCAGTGAAGGGTCAGGGACTGAGGAGGGGGCCCCACGACACCACAGAGGGGCAGCCAGGGCCCTGTGTGTCTTGGCCAGGCGGGACCCCTGGGCCGCCAGGTATGTAACAATTCCAGCCATTTCCTGCCCTATTAATGAGAAAGGAGCTGATATAAATATACGCTCAGCATAAATAAATACAGGCCAGGCCCGGGCTGCATAGCAGACAGATTGCGTGGAGCCGCTGGCCGGCCTGCCAGCCCCCCACCCTCAACAGGCCCAGCCTGCTCCACACTCTCAGGCCTGAGAGGGACACACTGCCCAGTCTCGGCCCCTGGAAGGTGGAAAGTCTGGGAGAGGGCCGAGGGCCTCAGGGTACCAGCATGGGCCTCTGCACCAGCCCTAGAAGACTGGGCAGCATCTCCGAGTGACGCCAGGTACCTTGACTGTGTCCTCTCACAGCCAGGGAGATTGAGGCTCCCTGGGTTAAGTACTGCAGCCTGTCCAGGCCGCACAGCTGAGAGATTATAGGCACGGGATCAAAGCCCAATACTTCCTGCCTTAGCTCTGCCCGCTGTCCTGAGCCACAACTGAGGGTGGATCCTGACTTCCCTCCCTTGCTCATCCTGGCCCCAGCATGCCAAGGTGCTGAGCTGGGAACACCTGTCATTCCAGCACCCTGGGAGGCTGAGGCAGGAGGATCTCAAATTGGAGCCCAGTCCAAGCAACTTAGTGACACAGTGAGACCCTGTCTGGAAAGGTTAAACAAATAGGCATGGGATATAGCTCAGTGGGAAGGACCCCAGTTCAATCCTATGTAATGCAAAAATAAAAGGGGGTGGGTGCTATTGGGGGTCTGGGAGAAGTCTTAGCTCAGCTGGCACAAGAGCCCTATGACGGGGCCACACACAGCAGGTGCCAGCCCAAGCCACTGCCCCCTGGCACATTCAGAGTGCTGGCTGGGCATGAGCTCCCCCTTGGTGATTCTCGCCAGGGGTCACCCACCCACCCCACACTATAGAAAAACTAAGGCCCACCAGGGTCACACAGGGAAGCAGGGTGGGGTGAGGCTTCCCCTTGGGGCATGACTCACGCCCCCTTGCTTGGAGGTTCCTGCTCTCCCAGTGAGGACTCAGAGCATCAGCCTACGTCCTGGAATACAGCCTGGGCCCTGCCCAGGACACAGCCCAGCAAGTAAAGCCCAGACCACTGCACCACAGTGTGGGGCAATCACCCCCCATGCTTAGTCCCTCCTCTCACCTGCTGCCCAGTAGCTCTGGACCCCACCTTTGGGCCTGGAGGGGAGTGGGGGTGATGCTGCTTCCCACAAAACCAGCAAAATCACTGGCAGGGGCCAGGGTTGAGGATCCACCACTACTCCAGTGGATACTGTCCTGGCTTACAGGGAAGGGGTGTGTGGAGATAGCCGCTCTTGGCATCCACACCCCCAGGGAAGGGAGGGCACTTCACTATGGGGGTGAGTTGGGTGGATGCTCTGTGGATAATCAACAAAGACAGATGGATGGACGGATTGGACGGATGGACAGATTGATGGGTGGATGGGTGGGTAGGTGGCTGTTTCTGTGGATAGTGTGGGGATGGATGGAAGGGTGGGTGAGTGCATGGATGCATGGTCTTTGGATGGCTTGGGAGTGAGTAGATCAGTGGATGAGTAGCTGCTATGGGTAAGTGGATGGCCTAGCTGCAAGCTTGCTCAGAACGAACTACTTAAAAGAATTTTCTACATCTGTGAAATGTGAGGCCCTGGCACCCCCCAGAGGTCAGAGTCTCCAGTTGCCCATCTCCCCTAAACTTCTAAGCCTCACCAATGAGGGAAACCAGGGCCATGGACTGCAACCAAGGAGGAGCTCTGGGAAACACCAGACCTGGAGCCTGGGGCTCACACTCCCTGGATTTACTGCGTCCCTGGGAAAGTCCAACTCCGAGGCTCTATCGTCTCATCTGTAAAGTGCTGCCAATCAAGCCAGATGCCTGCGTTGCTAGGTTTAAATCAAACGATGCCCAAAGCATCTGAGATGGTTGCTACGTGGCACCCGGAAGGTGCATAGGGTCTGATTTCCTTTCCAGAGCAGCCCCGGAATGTGGGAGTGTGCACAGCAGGAAGTGGGGTAACCAGGCCATAGACCCATGCAGTCCTGGAGAGGATGATGGGAAGCATTTATTGCTCAGGGTTCCTGGGCTCCTGCAATAGGACCCGACCCTCGAAGGCAGAGGGCAACGCAGGGAGCAGGCAACTGGATAAGGATCCTGAAGGCCCCTGGGCCTGGGCCAGCTTGGTCGTGTGCTCAAAAGCCGCCTGCAGCAGGTGGGAGGCCAGGCAGGTAGTCCAGGTGATGCTGTAGGCCAGGTGCCAGCACAGACATCTTGGCAGTGCCAGGAGCTTGAGCACCATGTGGCTCCCCACTAGGGCCTAGGAGGGGCAGGCAGGGGACAATCAGGTGATCCCAGGAGCCCAGGGCCCGACCCAAGGAGCTCAGGGCCCAGCCCCAGGCCCGCCCTCCATAGTCTGGTGACTTCTGCCCACCCACCTGGCGGTACAGGCAGCCCAGGAAGCACTGGGCCTTCCGGAAGAGCCTCCAGGCCAGCAGTAATGACAGCAAGGCCACCAGCGTCAGGCTGTGCAGACAGGACCGGAGCAGGCCCCTCCAGGCAGCCACACACAGGCCCAGCCCAGCCACGCCCACCAGCCGGGGTCCACAAAGCAGCAGCACCAGCCCTATCCGCAGAGCCCGCTGGCTCAGGGCACAGACAGTGTCCCCAGGCAGCTGGTGGGTGGGCGCATAGCTTGGGCCCCAGGCCTCCTGGGACAGTCCCACCACCCAGCCCCGGAAGACTGCGATCTTCAGCAGCAGGAGCCTGTAGAGGTGCAGGCGATTCTGCACCAGCTAGGGGAGAAGGGGATACTGGTGTCACCCAGGGCCCCCCACCTGGGCTCTGGAAGACACTGGGGGACTCAGGTGGGCTGCTTGCCCCTCCATAGGCCTGGCTAGCAGGGCCAAGGTGGGGGGAGCCCTGTGGGAAGGAAGGAGATTGAGGAGTCCAGGAGGAAGCCAGCAATGGGGTGCTGGGAGGAGCTCAGAACCTGGCTTAGGATGTTGGGGGGTGGACACTGGAAGAGCCTGTGTGACCCAACCAGAGAAGTTCTACAGGACAGGAAACAGGCTCAGCAGGGATGTTACTTGTCCAGAGTCACATGGGCTAAAGAATGCTCAGCTGCCAGATGTGGTGGCGCACACCTGTAATCCGAAGCACTCCCAAAGCTGTGAGTTCAAGGCCAGCCTGGCTGCAAAGAGAGCTCAAGACCAGCCTGAGCTACATAGCAAAGAATGAAACGAAACAAAAAAAAACAAAAGGATGGAACAGGGCGAGGGAGCTGGCTCAGTGGAATAAGCGCTTCCCTGGCAAGCACAAGGGCCTGAGTTCAATCCCCAATTCTGCAAAAGGATGGAACAGCCAATCCAGGGATTAAGCTCAGAGCCCTCACAGGGAGCCCCAGTTCCCCTTCTGTGAGAAGCATCTCTCTTAGTTGCTCCAGCTGACTCAGACTTGTGATCCTCCTGCCTCAGCTTCTTCCCACAGTGCTGTGGTCACAGGCCTGCCCCACCACACCCAGCTTCTCTCTCCTTTCTGTCCCACAGAAGCAGACTCGAGGACCATCTCCTGGTGACTCGGCCCAGGGCAGGGAGTGATTAGAGGTGCGCTCTGAACCACTAGACACTGTGTCTTTGAAAAGACAGTTGGGAGGGGCAACACTTAAGCCACAGAGGGAAACACTGGCACCATGGCTCGGGTACAGATGCTCCCTTGGGGTCCAGCAGCTGGGAGGTGACCCAGGGCAGCACGGTGCCTTCTCTAGCACTGTGCTCACTCACCAGCGCCCAGAGCCTGGCACCCTGCAGCAGGACCTCAGAGAGGCTGGCTCTGCCCCCTGCCACAGCCTCCATGACTGGCTTCCTCCAGCTGGCAGGGGCTGGGTGACCTCACAGAAGCTGTGGGGTGTGACCAGGTTACCGCGGGGACCCCCACTGCCACAAAAGCACCCATTCCCTGGTTCCTCCTGGGGATCAGGCCAGGCCTGGCCTTGCTCAGCCGAGTTCCCTTCTGACACCTTCCCCAGAGGGCCCTGGGCTTGAGCTCAGGTGCCCTTGCTGTGAAGGAGACCTGGTATGCAGGGGTGGGGTAGAAGGGCGCCTGCAGTGGCAAATCCAAGGGCAGGATTTGACTTTGGGCATCTGGGGCTCACTCTGGCAGAACACTCCTGGGAAAGAGCAGAGCACAACTTAGAGGCCCCCACTTGAGAGGAGGATTGGAACAGAGGCCAAGGCAGGAAGAAACCAAATACAATACACAGCACATGAAAAGGGCCCTCCGCACAGTGGAATTGCCCAGGTTGAGCTTGTCCTTGAAGTAGTCCTTCCTCAGCCTCCCAGATTACTGGGATTACACCTGGACCACCTCACTCAGCTGCAAATCTTTAGGATGCACAGGAAGCCGGCAGCTTTTTGCCCCTAGGGAGATTCCCTGCCTTCTGAGGTGGTGTCAGAGACAGGCTGGATAAAGGGCCACTCATTGCATGCTGAAACGCAGAAGACCCAGCTGTAACCCAGCCCAGGAGGGAACAGAGGAGCGCAGGGGAGGCACAGTCAGGGGCCCAGGGGCTTGGGCCAGGTGCACATGGAGTGCTGTCCCATGGTGGCCAGTGGACAAGAGACAGGAGGAACACAGGCCCAGGAAGCCGGACTCCCCCAAGCCAGCTCAGTACCCTGCAGCCAAACCCAGCCGTGTTCCCTCCCCTCCAGCCTGATTGTCCAGCCCAGCTTTCTCTGTGATCAGGGCTGGGGGCCTTACCTGCCCCTGAGCGCCCCCCACCCGCCCCACAGGCAGGGTAGAGCCCTGCAGGAGGTGACAGGCCCTACCCACCCAATTTAGGTCCCTCACTCTGAAGCTGCCCCACTCCCAGTCCAGGCCTCCTTTCTGTCCCACAGCACCAGGAAAAGGTCATCTCTGTGACCTTGCAGTTTTACCTTGGAAGGTGACAGGACTGTGTAAGGATTCCCTTACCACTGCTTCACACAAAACCTGGTGGGCCACTCCTCAGGCGCCTACCTAGGTGGAGATTCTTGCCCAAGCCCGGGGTCACAGTCTCTTTCTAGCCCTAGGGCGCCACGGGTGCAGTACCGCCATGTAGCCGCGAGGGGACAGCAGACACCAAGGCGAGGCGCTGTAAAGTTTTCACCCCTTTTTGTAACCGCAGTAATGAGGGTGCCCCTCCAGGGGCGCCCCCTATGCAGGTCCCATCGTGTTTGGTTGCTGAAAGTAGATCCACTGAGAAATGATAACACCCCTTTAGTTCATATTCCAGTGTTAAAACTTCATTTCCTCTGTCTTCAGTTTTGTTTTCCTTTATAATTTTTTCCTTTTTATTACATATATATTAATATACATAATCAACACACGGGGGAACTGCTATATGTACATACCTCATCTTGATCTTTTTCTATTTCCTCTCTCCTCCCCTCTCCCAAATTTCATTTCATTTCTAATCTCCACCGGTGAGGCCGGGGAGATGGTTTAGTGGAATAAGCGCTTCCCTGGCAAGCTCAAGGCCCTGAGTTCAATCCCCGGTTCCACAAAAAAAAAAAAAAAAAAAAAAAAAAAAAAACACCACAAGTCAAACTCTAATCTCCACCGTGTTTTCTCTTATTACATAATAAGACCCTGCCTCATAAAAACGAAAACAGAAAGAAAATTGCCAAGAGAGTAGATTTTAAATGTTCTCACCTCAAGTAAATAGAAGTGGTGCACGGGTTGTCGCCCCCCTTCCGGGCGGGGAGTCAATAAGCTTAGAACTTGGTCAACCGCGTAAAATTAGTAAGCGGGGTGGAATGCGGATCCAAGTGAGCTCAGACACCATCGCGCCCGCTCAGCGGACGCGGAAGGCACGCCGAGGGGTCTGTGGGCCACTGCCCGGCTGCAGGATCCTCTGGGTACGAGATTATCTAGTCAGCCCGGCGAGGTGGCGCAGGCCCGGAGTCTCAGCACTCTGGAGGCTGGGGCAGGAGAGTCACCAGTTCAGGCTCCTCCTGAGTGACTTAGGAATTTAATGAGCCCCTGTCTCAGAATAAGGCTTGGGAATGTAGCTCAGTGTGAAGGCTCTGGGTTCAGTGTCACAGCACAAAAGAGGAAAGTGGGGGGTGGGGGGGAGAAAGAAAGGGAAAAAATCTACTGAACAAGGGTGCTTGTTAAACACACATGGGAGGCTGAATTCATCAAAGAAACCCTCAGCCTCACTGTGCTCTGTCGCTCTGCTCCATGGGACAGTTTCCCCTCCCACTGGCCCAGTCCCCGAGAGCTTACTGCCTGCCCAGAGACGCCTGATGAGCAGGCAGCGAACTGGCTGGGAAGCAGCCTGGATTCCCGGAAAGGGTGGGTGCTCGAGTGCCCAGCCTCACCCCAGCTCACAGATGCCCTGTTGGGGCACAGAGCAGAACTCACACCAGGTTCCTCCTCGACAGTCACCGTGGGGGGAGGGTACCGAAGCAAGCTAGGGGCAAAATGTCCTCATAGCCTTGTTTGGGAAGAGGTGACAGGGAGATGAAGGCTTAAGTTCCCCCCAAAGGTGATACACAAGGAAGGAAGGAAGACCTCGGCCTTGCTCTGAACAGCATCCTAAGGTCAGACAAAGGCACGGGGCCCGAGCCATCAGAGATCTGCAAAAAGGGGGTGAGATGTAGCCAGTGCGGTCACAAAGATGCAGTGTGTGAACCTGGAGCAGCCGCGTGCAGTGCCCAGGGCGGAAGGAAGCGGGAAAGAACAAACAGGAGCATGGGGAGGGGGGCAGAGGAGAGGGCAGGGCTGTCCACAATGCTGTGCGCAGCGAGTGCTCAGGTGACGTTTTGCCGAGTGTAAACACGAAAGCAGCACCACACTGACTTCAGCACAAAAGCTACAGATTTTGCAGGGCAAAGTGTCACAGGGCTGTGATCGCATCCCTCAGGAGGCTGAGGCAGGAGTTTCTATGAGTTTGAAGCCAACCTGGGTGACACAGTAAGACGCTGCTGCCTCACCCCACCAGGTGTGGGGTTTCATATGTCAGGCCAAAGAAAATGAGCCAGGCTGTGACCAGAAAGCAGCTTCTCAGCAGGGCATGGCGAGCGCATAGCCCCGGCCTGGGGCTCTCTGACCCCCACCTGCCGGCACTGAAATCTGAATTGGCCCCTGCTACTCCAGCCCCTGAGGACCGGCTCTTCTGACACGGTGTTCAGAAGATTCTCCGTGGACCCCCAAACTCCCACGCCCGCGCCCACCCACCCCACTCCAGACCTCAAATCCTGCCTTCCCCCAGCCCACACCCTTCAGCATCTCTATCTTGCCTGTGTTGCCCGTCACAGCCTGGCAATGATGCCACCTCGACCACGCCCTCCTGCAGCACATGGCAACATCTGCAAGATCGGATAATAGTGACTGGACTGGAACAGTGGACTTGGTACTCTAGAACCCCTCCAAAAACTACTGTTCTTTCTGTCCCTCAACTTCTGCCCCTGCTGCGCCACTTGGTCGACCCCAGATATTTTCAACAAAAGCACAGGTAGCTTTGGGTTCCTGAAGCTTAGGGCTAGAGTGACTAAAGACAGAAAGGGAATAGCCAAAGGCTTGAGCGCCAGAGCAGGCCCAGCGCAGGCCCAACACGGCTCCTGCTAAGATGAGGACTGCACCCCAGGAGGGGAGAAGCTACTGGGGTCCACGCACGGAGGAGCAGAGGGACAGCCAGAAACTCTAGCTCCCTCCCATGTCCTCCATGGCAAATCATGTCCCCACAGAGCCCAGGAGCTGTCTGTGGAGGAGCTGTCTGTGGAGGAGCTGTCTCTGGAGGAGCTGTCTCTGGAGGAGCCACTCTGGGGCCACTTGTGTGTGCCCTGCCCAAGAAGCAGCCATTGACTGAAGGAGCCACGAGCCTGGGGCGTCCACCCTGGCTGGGCGTGGCTAAGTGACCTGTAGCCACCAGGATGCAGTGGAAGTCCCAGGCTGGGGTTCCCCAAATGTTTCCTCAAGGGCTGGAGTCAGCAGGCATCTTCTTGGCCATCCTCTCCCCTCTTCCAGACTGGAAGGTTAGCTCTCTGCTCCAGCCCAGCTGGGCAGGTGTCCGGTGATTTACATCTATGCACGGGGATTCACTGTGCCTCCTGCCTCAGGACCAGGGCAGACCAGGTGTGGCTCTCGGCAGGCAGCACTGGAAATCGGAGTTTCCCACACCATCACCGAGACTGCAGCTTTGGCCCCAGTGGCCAAGTACGGATCACTTTGGTGCTCTGGGTGCGAAGCTTGGCAGAAGGGGCAAGCCAGCAAGGCGTGGCCCTGGCTCCAGGGTGCTGGTGTGATTGCCAGGAGGAAAGGAAGGAAAGGAGGCAAAGAGGAAAGGGCTGCGAAAGAAGGAAAGAAGGAAGGAAGGAAGGAAGGAAGGAAGGAAGGAAGGAAGGAAGGAAGGAAGGAAGTCAAGTTGTTAAGGAAACCAAATGCTGGTAGTTATTGTGCCTGGGAAACCCGCCATCCCCGTGCTAAACACGGGAACATTCACTTTCATTTGTGCCAGGCTCTGTGTGGGTCCTGGGGAGGACTCAGGGTGCCCTCCCCCTGCAGCCCACCCTCCTCTCCAGCATCAAACAGGAAAGGTTTGAGGACCAAGCCCAGAAGTAGAGCACTCACCTACACCGGCCAGGTGTGTCCACACATCCACACCCACGCCACCCAAGGCCTCAGTTCTCATCTTTCACCCCTTTTGCAATACTGGGCAACGCTGGCTGTTGCTGTCTTCCATATGACCTGCTCTGGGCACCAGCTGCCTCCCTCTGGTTCCCTGCTGTGCCCCAGCCTCTCTTCCTCCATCTGCCCTGGGGGGGGGGGTGAGGTCCCATGTCCCCTCCTGGCTCTGCGATCTCACCTTTGCTAGGGGCCTCCATCACCAAGGTTATGTACAGCACTGTCAGCCTGTCCCCAGCACAGCCTCCCCCTCCTCCCCCTCCCACACTCCCACCCCGGCCCTTGCTCGAGTCTCTGGCATTAAAGAGTCCTGCATCAGGGCGTGGTGATGCACGTGTAGTACAGCACTCTGTGAGGCTGAGGCAGGAGGGTGGCACATTGGAGTCCAGCATGGACAACTTAGCAACTCAAGGACATCTTGTCTCAAAATAAAAAAGGGCTGGGGATGTAACTCAGGGGAAAGTCCCTGGATTCAAACCCAGTAACAGGAAAAGACAGGCAGAGGCAGAGTGAGGGAATATATCTTGAGCTTCTTCACCTAGGCACTGCAGAGACACCTCAAACTTAGCACCCCTAAGTCGTCCATATCCTCGTCACCCCAACCTGCCTTCCTCTCTTGTGTTTTTTGCATTAATCAACTGAAGGATGATTGCATTAATCAAACTGAAGGATGTTGCATTTGAAGAACCCCAAAATCTCAGCAGCCTAATGTCATGAAAGCTTACTTCCTGTTCTGTTCTTGTCACAGTTGGTCCTGAACAGGCGGATGGGGACGCTGCTCCAAGCAGCCACCTGGGTCTCAGGCTCCACCGGAGCGACCACTTCCGGTCAATGACGTCCCTCACCCAAGCCTCTACAGACAGCCCGTAGCGCTGTGGCAGCCCCTATACTGTGCCAAGCCCCTGAAATAAACCGAGCCTTTCACGGATCACATGGGCCAGCGCTGCTTCTCAGAGTGTGGCTGCAGAGAAAGCCCCTGGAGCGTGCGCTGACGCCCAGAGTCTGGGTGCCCATCGCCGGCAAGCTGACTGTGCAGGTGCAGAGCGGTAGGCTGGGGATGTTCCCAACAGGCTGCCCACAGCGCCGCTCCTGGAGGAACCCAAGGCGACGCTGAGGCTTCTGCAACTCCAGATAAAACTGAGCGCCAGGACTCCCAGCACCGTCCAGTACCTCAGCCAGCCTGCCACCCACTACATGTGACTATTTAAATTATGAATGCAAAGCAAAAGTTAAGCGCACACCTTAATTTCCGCACTCTGGGAGGGTGAGATGGGATGAGCCATGACAATTTAGTAATTTGAAGAGACCCTATCTCAAAAAAATTCTCTCTCTCTCTCTCTCTCTCTCTCTCTCTCTCTCTCTCTCTCTCCTCCCCCCAGGTTTAATTCCCACTACTGAATAAAAAAGGCGATGTGTGTGAGGGGAGGGGGCAAAGCAGATGCATTAGCCGAATGTCAAGCTCACAACAGCCGCCCAAATTCCGAGACAGTACTGCGGTACACTGTAGTGAGAAATAAATCTCAGAAAGTCTTGATTTGTCGCTGGCTGGAGGACGGACGAGAGCCTTGAGCTGATTGGCTGGTGCTAGGGGCGTGGGGTCAGTGGTTGGCTTTGATTGGGCATTTTGTCTTAACGGAAACAAGTCATCAAGGGCTGCAGGGGCGCGGGGGAGGGGGGATGGGGGGGGACTTCGCTAGGATTGCCACGAGGCCCAGTCAAGAGTTGTGGATCCCTCGGACCCCTGGCAGGTTTGGTCCCCTGTAAGTCCTGATCCTCTGTCCCTTGAGAGACCCTTTCCGCTCTGACCGCTACCCCAACCCCCACCTCCGCACGCCCCTGCCAATCCCGCAGCTCGGGGGTGCAAAGGTCCAAGCCCACGTGTCTGCTCACGAACTGGGCCGCGGTGGGGAAACAGGAGGCTGATGCAGGCCTGGGGACAACGAGGAGGTGTCTCCACAGGAGGATGGCTCAGGAGGAGGGTGGCAGGCTTCCCGAGGTGCTGCAGCAGGTCGGGGTTGCCCACAGCATCACAGACCTATCCCAAAAGCTCCAGTTCTATGATTTCTGGGCCCCCAACTACGACCAGGTAAGCTCACCTAGGTCTTCGCCTCCGCTCGCCCAGCCTTGACTTCTCTTTCTGTGAAATGGGAATAGTTGGCCTGGCATCTCTGGCACTGTGAGAATGGAATCAAGGCCTGGGTAAGAATCTGCAGTTATGCATCTTCTGGAGAGGACAGGATCCTCTCTCTTCCCCACGGTGGCCCCTGCCAGCTCTGGACCAGCAACTCCCTGAGGAGGCAACTCAGACTCGGCGTCTGCCTGGAGGAGGTGCCATTACGGATGACAGTGGACCACACAGACCTGGCCCCTGAGGGACTGACCCCCGCAGGTTGGGGACTCCAGACACCCAAGTCTCCTTTGCTTTCCTGGCAGGGCCCCATCCCCGACCCCCCCCCATGCCCCCTTAGCTGGCAGACATACCCCCATGCTCACACCGGGGCACAGGTGGTGGCAGGCTCGGTGTTCTGTCCACAGGATGTGGCTGTCCTGCAGTACCGTGCTCCCAGCCTGGCTGTGGACTGCCTCACCCAGGCCATCCCACATCTGCCCCCCACAGCCCTGATCCTGGACGTGGCCTGTGGTACTGGCCTGGTAGCTGCTGAGGTGAGGCCTCCTCATGTCCCTGTCATCCCAACCTCCCATTGCTCAAATTTCCTGTGCCCAGAACTCTGCCACTGCAGGGCCACTCTCCTCCCAGGCTGTGGGGGACCCTGCTGAGAAAGGGCAAGACCTGAACTGTGACCCAGCTCCCCACCCCAGCTGCAGGTCCGCGGCTTCCTGCAGCTGCACGGAGTGGATGGGAGCCCGGGGATGCTGGAACATGCCCGGGCCCGAGGCCTCTACCAGCAGCTCAGCCTCTGCACATTGGGCCAGGAGCCTCTTCCCAGCCCTGAAGGTATTTCCTCTCTAGCACCAGATACCCCAAGGCCTGCCACACACCTGCCTTGCCAAGCAGCGAGCCCCTTCTCTTGCCACTGAACCCCCATCCACGCTGCAGAATGCTCCCTGAGCCCTGCCACATGGCTGGTGTCAGCCCAGGACTGTGCCCCAGCACCTGTCTCCTGCCCTGGATCTGGGCCCTGAGACACAGGTGGCAGCCCCACTGTGGGGCCCGGCCTCAGAAGTGATCATCGGCCACACAGTAGGCTGAGCATTGTACCAAATGCCCTCCCTACTGCAGGGACCTACGATGCGGTGCTGATGGTGGGTGCCCTCAGCGAGGGCCAGGTGCCATGCACTGCCATTCCAGAGCTCCTTCGTGTCACCAAGCCAGGTAAGGCAGTTCCAGCCCTCCACAGACACCTTCTCCTCTGCACACCTCATACCCAGGCCAAGCGAGGCCTGGGGTCCACCAGCCGCCGCCGCAGATGCAACGGCACAGGTGGAGCAGACAGGTGTAAGGCTTTCCTCATGCCTGGGAGCTGATGATACCTGCCATCAGCAGATGGGGAGGTCCCACCTCATCCCCATAGTCCCTGCCCCATAGGCTGGCAGGGCCAGTTGAAGGAAATCAGACCCCGCAGGCCTTGCTTCTGTCCTGGCATGCAGTACCGACTCAGTTCCGTCCCTTTGTCCTCCAGTTTCCTCACTGTCTCATTGTCTGGTGTTAGAGGGTCTCTCTCCTGGTCTCAGTTCCACATCTGGGGACTGGGGCTGCCCAGTGAGGTGAGGATGTGGTCACTCTCTGCAGCTCTGCACCCTGAGCAGGCTCTGTGTTCGCTGTGGTCTTACTGTGCGCCACTCTGCTCTGCTCTTTGTGGAGGGCATGGACCCTGCCCCCTGAGCCCCCACTGCCCGGATGGCCCCCAGCAAGCACAGGGCAGGGTGGCCCATGAGTCTGTGAGGACTACCCCATGCTGCAGAGCTGAGAGGTGAGCTTTGGAGATCCCCAAGAAGACCTTTGCACAGGAACAGCCAGTCACGAGAGGGTGGCATGTGGGCCAGGAGGCACTGGCCCGGGGCAGGACAGGGTCAGGAAGTCAGGTGGTAAAAACATTTCCTGTCCCTGCCGTTCCTTAGCCCTGCAGCAGGCTGAGAGGGGCTGGGCCCGAGCCTGGACAGGTCTGGGCAGGCTTTGGCTGCTGGCAGATCCAGCCTCCGTGGGGTCACCCAGGAGACACGGGGTTGGGTGAGGAAGATGGGATTTCCATCAAGGAACTCGCAAGGGCCAGGGGGATGGCCAGAGCCCTATCCGCCCCCCATGAGGGACGGGACCCCTGCTGCAGGCCTTCATGCCCCTCTGAGCAGCACTCTGCTCCTCCCCACTCCTACCCCAGGAGCCCTGCCCAGACACATTTTGCATATAGATATGCAAAGCTCTGGTCTTACTGTGGAACAGAATAGTCCTCTCCTCTCTGCCTTGCTGAAACTGAGGCTCAGAAGCACAGGAACTTCCAAGGTCCAATGCGCAGGTGCTTCTTTCCTGTGTGTCCTGACCCAGTTGTGTCCTCCACAGAGGAGCTTGGTAAGCAGTGACAGGGAGGCCAGCAGCTGGCAATGGGCCAAGAATTCCTAGGGTCAAGGACACTTGGGCTTTGAAGGGTGTATAGGAGGCTGTCCAGATGAGAAACATAGAGTGTTCCCAGCAGAGGGGGAGGTCAAAGAAACTGACCTGGGACAAAGCTGCAAATGTCCACAGCCTCAAAGCCATGGTGAAAAGGGACAGGCCTGGGACTATGGCCCCAGTGCTCCCCAGCACCACCTCCCTTCTACCCCATCCAGGTGGGCTTGTGTGTCTGACCACCAGGACCAACCCATCTAACCTTCCATACAAGGAGAATCTGGAGACCACCCTGGTTGGGCTAGAGCGAACTGGGCTGTGGGAGCGCCTGGTGGCTCAACCTGTAGACCGCTGGGAACTGGCCACCTCCAGCCTCGAGTCCAAGAATGGCTTCATCTCCGGCATCATCTACCTGTACCGGAAGAGGGCTTGAGGCCTGGGCCCAACCTCCAACCAGCTGTGACCTTGCATGTCCCATTGCTGCCCCTCTGGAATGCTCTTCCCATTAAAGGAACTACCAGCAGAGATGAAAGGACTCATGGGTCCACAATTCTCTGGCTCCAGGAAAGAGGGTCAAGTGTTCCTGCGTTATCAAGCCAGGCTCATTCCTCCACCCAGTACACCTGAACCAAAGCTGTGAGTTTTGCAAGAGTTGTTTACAGGCAACTGTACACGCAGAGCTGGAGCTGCCGGGCTCCATCCGCCTCCCCGAGGACCCATCTACGGACACTCGTGGGAGGAAGAGAATGAGGGGACTCTAGACAGGGGTGGTGGTGCACATCTGCAGTCCTCGTCCTCTGGGAGGCTGAGGTGGGAGGATCACAAATTCAAGCCCAACCTGGGCAACTGAGTGATCCTCCCTCTCAAAATAGAAATTTAAAAAGGGCTGGAGATGCAGCGCCAAGTCAAGGCAGGAAGAAAGGAAGGGAGGGAGGGAAGAAAGAAAAGAAGGGTGAGACGGACGGAGGGAGGCAAGCAGGCAAGCGGAGCTGGGTGGTCTGCTACGTGGGCACAGTGAGCAGCAGGAGGGAGACAAATGTTCAGTGGTCTCCAAGTGTGAACAAACCAGGACTCCAGGGGCTCTGAAAACATCCGCCTTCCTGTGCTCTGAGACCCTCTGACATCAAAGGGCTGATTATAACACTTGGGTGGCCTCAGGGAAGGGCTCAGGAACCCATTTGAGTCACACAAGGCTATCTCCAACCTAAATATATACACACACATAGTGGTCACCCAGGTGAGCGTACAGCAGAAGTGTTAGCTGGAGTTAAACTAGCAGTGGATGATCCTGTTTTCCCCTGAGTTTTAAAAGAAAGGATGAGCAGCCAGACATGGTGGCACACACCTGTAATCCTAGCACTTGGGAGGCTGAGGCAGGAGGATCACTGCGAATTTGAGACCAGCCTGGGCTACAAAGTGAGCTCAAGGCCAGCCTGAGCTGCATAGCAAGACCTTGCCTAAAAAAAAGAAAAAAATTTCAAGGGCTGAGGATGTAGCTTCATGATTGTAGTTCAATCCCTTGTATCACAAAAACAAACAAGTAAATGAATACTTAACTCTAAGACCTTATCTTAAAAAAAAAAAAAATAAACTAGGGAAATGACTCCACCCTGTTACAAAAGAAAAATGTGTCAATTCCACAGTTGCCTGCGGATTCAAGAAGAGAAGAGACAGGTGCAGAGGAAGGAGTGCAGGGGAGGGGACGGGGACGGGGACGAGGGTCGGGGCCAATGACAACTCCTCCATGGACTCTGGGAAGGTGTCTTTGGGAGGGAGGCGGCTCAGAGCCGGGCCTTCAGGACCAGCAAGATTCAGAGGGTGGGGACAGAAAAGACACATTCCAGGCTGAGGCCTGGGACACCTCCCAGCTCAGACAAAGCTGAGCTTTGCGGGGCACTGACCTCGGGAGTCTCCATTTGTCGTCCTCCTTTCTGGCCTCACCAACACTTCCCTGAGAACTGGGTCCTGGGCTTCCGGTCTTCCCTCCAACTAAAGGGCCTGGAGGAAGTCTTTTCAGAGAACTTTCAGCTCCCTGAAACCATGCTTGGACATCCCGGTCACAGCGGCCCTTGCTGATCCCTGCCCTTTCCTCAGCCCCAACCCCCCACCTCCATGGCTGGATTCAGAGGCAATTCATAGTCCTTGTGTGCACACTTTGTTTATTGTAGAAAATAATAATAATTACAGTGATGAATAGAACATCTTAAATTACAAAAACAGAAACCAGATGGCCAGTGGAGGAAGTCCAGGGACCCTCCCCCAGGTGGGTCGATGTCAGGCCCCCTCCCCAGACACTAACCAAACCTGTTTCTTCCGCCTGCACCCCTCCCACAAACCCGTCCAGCCAGTCCGAGCGCCATTCCGAGGGCAGGTGGGTGGCCTGGTGCTCTCATGGGTGGTACAGGTTTCCACAGGGGCAGATTTCCATGTCGAAGTCACAGATCCACCCAGTCACCTGCCATCCCCTATCCGTCATACCAAGGCCTGGGGCACCCAAGGACACGGGGAAAGCGGCAAGAAAAGGCGAGAAAGAAAACCGGAGCAACAGGGATGAGGGCAGGGAGCCACTGTGGACAGCACGGGCACCGGCAAGGGACTCAGGGAGGAAAGCCTGAGGTCGGGGCTGAGCCGTCCTGGCCAGCAGGAGCCAGCTCCCCACGCCACCGCCACTTTGTCGATTCCGTGGGCCATGCGGAGCAGGTGGCTTAGGAGTCTCTGACTGTTCATTCTGGCTATGGAGAAGAGAGGCCTCGGTGAGGTGTCCAGGGGCCAGAAAGGGTCAAGGACTGCTCCATCCCTGCTAGCCCAAGTGCCAGCAGTCAGAAGTCTGTGGCAGAGCCATCCTGGGGTCCCCAGCCGGATGGATGGAGTTCAGGCCAGGAAAAAGAAAGCCAAACGGGACAGTGTGGCTTGGCAGTTCCTACACGTAGTTGCTGGTCGCGGCAGAGCGGGCCGCCGAGTACTTCGCTGAGTAGGGCTTGTCGCTGCGGGGAGGGCAGTTGCAGCACAGGAGGGCCCCACCGAGCAGCAGCAGCCCCGAGGCCGCCCAGCCAATGTAGAGCGAGGCACCCATCTCCCGCTTCTGCCCAGACGCCACCAGCGGACTGTAGAAGTCCCGGATGATGTTGTTGGCCGTCCAGGACACAGGCACCAGCACCAGCAGGCCAGCCAGCAGGAACACCACGCCTGCCACGATCATGGTCTTAGCCTTGGTGGTCTCATCCTCCAAGCAGTTGGTGCACTTGCCCCCAACCACGGACAGCAGCATCCCCAGCGCCGCCACAATGATGCCCACGACCATGAGTGCGCGGGCCGCCTGCAGGTCCTGAGGCAGCGCCAGCAGCGAGTCGTGCACCTTGCACTGCATCTGCCCCGTGCTCTGCACCACGCAGTTCATCCACAGGCCCTCCCAGCTGGTCTGCGCTGTGACAATGTTGCTGCCGATGAAGGCTGACACGCGCCACATGGGCAGCGCGCAGCCGAGGATGGTGCCCAGCCAGCCCAGCACAGCCAGCGAGATGCCCAGCACCTGCAGCCCCATGGAAGCCATGGCTTATCCGCGTCGGGGGTTCCTCCTGAGAAGTTCAAGTTCCACCTGGGGCAGGGAAAGCCTTTCCCGAAGAGGCCGGAGAGACAAAGCCAGTTGCTGCCGCCCGCGGCAAGTGTCACCCAACCAGTTCCTTTCTGCGCCACCACCAGCTGCCACCCAGCAATCGCATACAGGTGCAGTTATACAGCTCCTGAGGAGGGGCGGGGACAGAGGAGGGACCAGATCCCTGGGGGCCTCCCCCTGACCAGTTTCACTGGATTCCTGAGCCATGGCCAACAAAGAAAGGTACAAAGGCCCCAGCCCCAGGCCCCTGAGTCACCGATGGTCTCAGAAGAAACTGCCCTCTCCCCTGCCCTGTGCCCAAGCTGAGCTCAGACAGGATTCAGACAATGAGTCACAGGCCCGGGGGCACCTGATGTCCTCAGGGACAGATAGAGAGGGTGGCAGCCAGGCTCTGCCACCTGCAGGACCTGAAGCCTAGATGGGGTCCTCACAGCCCAGGCTGCACCTTGGCAGGCTTGGATTGGAGGAGGGGCAGGACCCTGGCGGGGAGATAATGGGAGGGGAAGTCCTGGGAGTGTCGGTGAGAAATTCCTCTGTGATGACCGGATCACTTTCGGTCCTTATCTCTCCTGTCATATGATGTTAGTGCTGCTATTATTATTATTATTATTATTTGCTATCATCATCTAGACATTTGACCTTGCCAGTAATTTTCCCAGCATTGGCCAGAGGAGGTTTGGGGGTACAAGGAGCTGGGGTCCGCGGGCTCCTGGGTGTAGCACTTCTTGCCTGTGCCCTCATTTTGCTCACCCAGCAACCCCAGCTCTGCTCCGCTAAGGGAGATGGGCCTGGGGGTGATGCTCTTTCGGCTAAGGCAGAAGAGACAAGAGCCTGAACCTGCTCAGCCAGAACTGGGTGGGGAAAGCAAGCAGGGGCCAGGCCCAGGGGCACCTTCCACCCCATCAATAAATGTGTTTACCCTGGAAGACACCAGGCGACAGATAAGGCCAGGCCAGGTGCAGGCCAGGCCAGGTGCAGTTTTGGAGTTTCGTGAGACTTCAAAGGGGAGAAGAGCTGGGGTTGGGATGGCTGTGGGGTGTAGTGGGGCTGAACAGTGAAGGTGTGCTGTGTGACGCGCACAACTCCAGGGGGCGCTGAATTCTCTACAGTAAGCTGGGCACCGAACACCGCTGTGAGTTGAGCGGGGTGGGGCAGGTACAGCAGCCTTTTCCGGAAGCCAGGAAGCCAGCTGGAGACTGGGCCCGTGGGGGAGGGGCCAGAGTGAAAGGGTCAGGAATGTCTGCCTCTCGTCCCCAGCCTGTGTGCACCTGGGCACGGAGGGCAGAGGTGAGCAAGGGCATCGGTTGGCAGGCCAAGGGGTGTCCATGCCCCTCCCAGGGCACCTCCAGATGCACGCACAAGGCAGAGAGGCTATGGGGACCCAGGGTAGGAAGGGGTGGCTCATGGTGAGGGACCTGGAGCCAGGCAACTCAGGGCTAGGCTCTCTGGCACCCTTGAGTCCCATCCCTTTCAAGCCCTAGGATGACTGTGTGTCTGAAACAGGATCTTGCTAAATCATTAAGTTGCCCCAACTGGGCTCAAACTTCTCATCCTCCTGCCTCAGCCTCCCAGACTACTGGTGTCACGGTCCTGTGCCACCACACCCAGCTGCTGCGCGGCCAGCTCTGACCCGGAAGACCCCTGAGCTTCCCGGGGAGAATCACCAGCGGGGTTCAATCAGTGTTTAAGGGGCACATAGGAGACGTGGGGCCACCTGGTAAACACAGGCCCAGAAAGACAATCTGTTACAAGTGGGAGGGGTGACACACACATCTCACATCTGTGTCTTCCCAGCCAGCCTGGAATTCCCAGAGGACACACAGGCAAGTCTTAAGCAGTAGGTGCGCAGCGGGTAAGGATTGAGGAAGGCACCAGGGAGGTGGCGCCCACCTGCTGTCCGGAGGGGGCGCCTCCACACCTGCCCCGCCCACGGGACGCACAAACAAGGACAGTTTCTGCCGGCCACACCTCCCTCCCGGGACTTTCCTTACTCAGGCTCTGAGGAACCCTGCGATGGCCTGTGGGCTGATCCCCTGGCGAGATAGCACCCACCTGATGCACTGGAAGCCTGTCTCACCTGTCACCTCACCACCAGTGGTAAACTGAGGCCCAGTGAGAAGCCCAGGTTTGTCCAGGCCAGACAACTGCCCCTTACCTGCCGCTTCCAGCACAGCACAGGTGGCCGGACACTCCACCCCCACCCAACACCCCTCCTCCACTCTTCCGGTTGTGCCTTTCCTGGAACTCCCCCAGCGGCGCTGCGGTAGCGCGCCAGGACTTTACAGCTGGGGCCCACGGAAGCAGCCAGAGAGATGGGCTGGCACTTCATGTGAGACAGGACCACCTGCCCCCATGGCAAGCCCCACTGCTCTCCTGGGCCTCCGCAGCTGCCTGGAGACGGAGCTCAGGCTGCGGCACGGTGCGCTGCTTTGTTTTTCTGCTTCCCAGCGCGTACTAACGCCGGATTGTGTTACCTGGGCTGGTTTTAATCCAAACATCCCTTCCACCAGATCAGCTCCGCCGCACCTGCCCACTTACACAATCTCCTCCCCCCCACATCCCCACACCCCCAGTGATTGAACCCAGGGCCATTCCCCCTGAGCTCCATCCCCAGACCTTTTTTTTTTTTTTTATTTTAAGATGAAGTCTCATTCAGTTGATAAATTACCCAGACTGGGCTGGAATTTGTGATCCTCCTGCCTCAGCCTCCTAGAGAGCTGAGAGTAGAAGTGTGCGCAGATTGATTTTAGGAGGAGGACCAAAATGTTGTTTGTTGGTGGGCCAGCCAGGTAGCTCAGCAGACTAAAGCACCTGCTTAGGCAGGGCACAGCAGGCAGGCTCCCGGAGAGGGAGATTAAGAGTGGGTGTGGTATCGTGCACCCGGCGCTTGGGAGGCTGAAAACAGAATCCTAAGTCCTATCTATGTAGTAAGACCCTGTAGACCGTGTACCAAATACGTTAAAAAAAGGGGGGGGCAGGAAGATGGCTCAGTGGAATAAGTGCTTCTCTGGCAAGCTCCAGGGTCTGAGTTCAATTCCCGGTTCTGAAAAGAAAAAAAAAAAAAAGTTTCTTGGGCTGCTGGGGAGATAGTGGCTGTAACCAAAACCGGGAGTGGTAGCACATACCTGTAATCCCAGAGCTGGGGAAGCTGAGACAGGAGGATCACTACAAGTCTGAGCTGCAAAGCAAGCCCCTGTACCAAATTTTTTTAAAAAAGTGTTGTTTGTGGTGGGGAGAAATGATTTTCACATAACACTGACTCTCCCGGCTTCTAGGTTCTCTGTGCTCAGGAGATGTGGGTGGGCGACAGCCGCAGGCTTCACCTGCTCAGGGCCAGGAGGCCCCTGCAGCCTCTCCTGGGGCTGCTGCCCAACACTGAACTCAGCCCTGGGCTCAGGAGGCAGCAGCGTGGCTAGGTTCCGGGGCATCGGTACCCCTTTCCTTTCCCAGATGGCCACTCAGGGTGTGGCTCAGGTTGCCAGGTGGCTCTCGGGAAGTCCTAGCTGCCACCCGCTGGCGGGAGCCTCCCATCCTGCCTTCCTAGGAAGGGAAGCTCAGGCCTGCCTCCTCTCCCCATGGGTCAGCCTTTTTGGGAAGTGGGAGCTCACGTCCTTGGTGAACGAAAGAGGAAGTGGAGGCTCAGGGCTGAGGTCACAGGAGCAAGGTGGCTGCCAGGTATGGCTTCTCCAGCTCTCTTCGAGCACTTGCGCCCGCCTGCGCGCACACACACGCCTACTGGCATCTAGGATAGAAAGAGGCGCCTATCCTCAGGGGACAAAGGAGGAAGTCCAGGCTCAGGGCTGCTAAGAAAGTGGCTTGGGAGTTGTGCACGGCGATGTAGACTCAGTAAATTAATAAAACAGTAAAATTCAAGACAGTGAGGGAGCTACTTTGACTGAAAATAAAGGATCTATTTCAAAAACAAAAAAATTGAGGGCTGGCAGGTTAGCTCAGTTGTCTAAAGCGCCTTCTTGAGCAAAATCAGTCAGGGGCAAAGGACTACGGTTCGATCCCCAGCACCACAGGCCATATCAGACCCGCCCTTAAGGCAGCCTGAGCCAGAAAAAAACAAACAAACAAACAAAAACTGACATCACAAAAGCAAAAAACTTTTTCCCAGAATTTACTAAGAGCTCAGCACACAAATTTCCTAGTCCCCCACCCCACGCCACCAGACAAAGCTTACAAGCCTACATCTTGCTGTTTTCTTTTATGTTTTTAAAGACAGGGTCTCCCTATGTAGCCTGGGCTGATCTCCAACTCCTGGTGACTCTCCTGTCTCAGCCTCCTGACTGTATATCGTTTTTAACCAGAGACAACACCATAATTAAAAAGCTTCACAAAAGGCCCGTGAAAGGATGTCATGAAACCTAAAATGCGCTTCCTCCACACACATTTCTTCCTGTACTCCTGGCTCCTTCGGAGCCGTGTCCTCTATTTTTTTCTGGAAGGAGCCTCGCCCTCCCAGACCAGGCCAATCTGGGCCAACCACTTCCCACAGTGGGGCAGCTTCAGGGCTGGGCCCAGGGCTGGGGACTGTCAAGCTCCAGGTCAGGACAGGGTGGTTTCTTGGAATCTCACCTGAGAGAGAACCCAGTGCCTAGGGGGTGGGGGGGTGTGCAAACCCTGCTCCTAGCAGCCATGAACATTGGGCAAGAGAGGTCACCTCTGGACCCATTTCCTCACTTGTGGAAGGAGGTGACAGCCCCATCCTAGTCACCAGGCGCTCTCTGTAGAAAGTGTGAAGGCCTGGGAGCCAGGCCTGCGTGGCTGCTGAGGTCCTTTTCCAGGCCTGTGTCCCACAGCCATAGCCCTGGCCCTCATCCCAGCCACCTGGCAACCCAGATTGGTGGAGTGGGTACTGTCCCTGGGCTGCGCCCCACGTGATGGAGACATTGAGGTACCTCCAGGGAAGGCAGAAAGGCTACCCTGTTGCCTCCTAGCTGGCGTCTTGGGGTCCAGGTCTACTCTGAGAGGGGAGCAGGGGCAGGATACATGAAGAGGATGGGGCAGCCGGGATGGTGGTATACCCCTGTAATCCCAGCGCTCAGGAGGCTGAGGCAAGAGGATCACCATGAGTTCAAGGCCCACCTGAACTGCATA